TGCTCATTCTTTTTTTTTTTTTTAAATCCTCACCCGAGGATGTGTTTTTATTGAGAGAGAGAGAAAGAGAGAGAGAGAGAGAAACATTGATCAGCTGCCTCCCATACATGCCCTGACTGGGAATGGAACCCACACCCAGGTATGGGCCCTGACCAAGAATTGAACCCATGACATTTTTGGTGTCTGGGATGATGCTCCAACCAGCTGAGCCATCCAGATAGGGTGAAAACTATGCTCTTCTTTGTACATTTAAAAGTTGGTATCTATAATTTTATTATAAGTTTAAGTAGTTGCAAAAAATATAATTGCTAGTGTTAGGAAATACTGACATTTTTAAATAAAACTGTTGCATCACTATTTTAAATGTATACAAATGGAATCTAAATCCTGTAACAGTTTGTGACTCACCATCATCCATTTAAGAAATGTACAAACCAGCTCATCTTGTGCGAGCAAAAGTTGTATATTTTTCTGTTTTCTCTTTGAAATTTTGTTTCCATCTACTTCCCCTTCAGAATTTTATGCTAATGTAAATTATTTATGATTGAACATCTTTTACTGAGTATCCCATCATACTTTTATCTATCAAACATGTGTTTAAAAATTGAAATTTATGCACTTTAGAATTCCTGTGACCCTCGGCTTTAAGTGTTTTCCGGATTGAGTTATCATTGCTAGTGTTGCACAATTGATTGAAACAACCTAAATGAATAGACTATTTTGATAAATGCTAACATAAAAATAAAGTTTTATTGGAAGCTTACATTTCTTAATAATATAGATGATGCTGTTCTTTTTCCAAACATTATATTACTGTGGATAAAAATTACTTATGGCTATAATGACAAAGTGTTTAGCATCCATTCTATTTCTATTTTCCATTTTTTTAGAGATGAAAAATCCTTGTTACAAATAAGATGGGAAATGAAAAGTTTTGTTATTAAAAAAAGTCCTTCAATTTCAGAAACTCCTTCTGACTTCATTCGCCCCAAATCACATGGTAATCCATTTTCAAATATTAGTTTTAATGATCTGTCAGCTGCCAACAACACTATTTCTGTCCTCCGTCAATTTCGTTGAAAGCAAGGTATTGGAAACCACGTGACTTGCAAAGGATTCGTTACCGGATCTGTTGTGGGTCAAGGTGAATCCCCTCCAAATTCGTCTATTGAAGTCCTAACCCCCAGTACCCCCAAATGTACCCTTATTTGAAAATTACGTCATTGCAGATATAGTTAGTTAAGATGTCATTAGGGTGTACCCTCATCCATTATGACGAGTGTCCTTATTAAAAGGGGACATTTGGACACAGAGATAGACGTCACAGAGGAAAGAGGATGTGAGGACAGCTGGAGAGGACAGCCACGTGCCAGCCAAAGGAACAGATCCTTCCCGCACAGCCTCGGGAGACCAGCCCCGCTGCGCCTTGACTTTGGACTTCCAGCCTCCAGAGCTGTGAGACAATACATTTCTGTTGCTTGAGCCACTTGTCTGAGACACTGTGTTAAGACAACGGAGCAGACTAACACACAGTCCTTAGAGTTAATCACCTCCCCGACACATACACCAAGATTTTCCATTTCTCCTGTATTTGGTGTCCAGGAGGGTTTTTTAAAAAAAACCCACGAGCAATGCACCCCAGTAAGATTGGGAATGAGAGTGACCACCACTTTTCTTTGCAAAGTGAGGGAAGAGCCCTCGTGAAAGGGGGCAAGGTGTTTGGTAAAAAGCAAGTATTGAACACGAGGGTCTGCCTGTTGCTTTCCTTCCAAACATCCCTGTCTGCGGCCCCTTTGGGAAGCCGTAGCCCCATAGTTGTAAGGTACCTACTTTGAAGATGAGGGTGCTGAACTGTAGAAAACCTACCATAATGCAGGGATGTGGAAGACTTTTGTAGGCTGGAGGTGCATGTTGTTGATGTTTTCACGGAGGACATGATATCTGCTGCCTTGTGTGCAGGATTTTTACCCGTGGTGAGGGTGTTCCAGCCGGCGTGGGAGCAACTTGGGAATGGGCTTCTGACCGAATTAAAGAGTTGGTGGTGGGTCCAGCCAGAGGACCTGCACTTATTGACCTAGGAGCTCGGACTTAGTCACTGGAGATTTTTGCATAAGCAAGTGTCTTGGTGAAAGGTATGCTTAGGAGGGTTAGTTGGGCGGGAATAAGAGGATGGGAGGGCGCGTGCAGAGCTAGGAGGCAGGAAGCAGCCCCAGGGTGTGGTCCTTAACGCGTGGATCGGTGTAATGGTGGTAGACTGGAGAGGCCGCTGCGTGTTGGTTGTGATGGAAGTCAGAATCGCATGCTAACATTACGGTTAATATTATGGTGTGCCGGCTGCTCGACGGTCTTCATTTCAGATGGGCAGCCAGGTTCCAGAACTCACTCCCAGCCTCCCCTCCGCTTCTGCCCTGCCTTCTGTGTTGGTGGGTCACAGCATTTATAAAGACCCCACGCCTTTCAGTTAGTCAAGCAGAAGTACAATAGGGGCAACATTTCTCTGTAGCTTGGCTGATCCTTTCGTTGCAAGGCCACAGTGAGTAAATGCACGGGAAAACACTGGGTTAACTATAGTGCCCTGCAGATGTGAAGGTAGGACTGTCATTACCCGTTACTGTTACTGCTGCACGCTACTCTTTCTTAGAGGTAGTGGAGAGCTTTCCCGAGAGCCTCATTTCACATTCGCCTTGAGTGACTGAAATCCCGGTATTGTAGGCCCACTGTGTGCTGCCGGGGATTTCCCTGGGCTTCCATCCCTTTGCACGTTGGGAAGGTGCTGCAGCACCCCCTGCGAGCCGCTCTGTGAAGAGCCACTCTTCACCCCCCTGGGTCCTCCCAGGTGTCTGGCCTTGTGCCCACACACCCTCAAAGACTGTTCATCTTCGGTCAGAATTGTGCGCCTTGCTAATTAAGTAGCAACAGAAACAAAGCTTTCCTGTGTCCCCCACATCAGAGTTTTCATGGCCGCATGCTCTCCTCACTGCCCAGGCTAAGCAGGAAAGCGCCCAGAGCACTAGAACCACCCAGACACACGCTCTTTCTCTCTCTCGTATTAGAGACCAATGTGTTTCTAGGACTCTGAGAGGATAAGAAACCAGTTTTTCTTGTAGAAGAAATTGGTGGTCACTGCCCTTATCGCCATCTCTCTAGTTCACAAGTCACATTCACCAGAGTGACTCTGAGGATCACTGGAACCTTTTGGTGTTAACCCCTGAGAGGACACTCTTGGTTGTTGGGGTAGGGACATGAACTATAGGCCATGTGGCTGCCAACTCCACTAGAACTTATTATTTGGCATTTCTTCCAGGGATGAAAAGGAGATTATCAATAATATTTCAGTGAATTTTCTTACCTATGTCGACTCTGGCACCTCTCATTCATGTGTGAGTATCTTAGTTAATGGCCGTAGTAAAAGCATATCCATTGGTAGAAAGACCACGTGCAAGCACCAACTGATCCCCTCGGCACTGATGTCTGCTCCCATGTAATAGAAGAAAACAAGCCCATGTGGTGAGGTTATAATAGTCCCTATCATTTCACAGGTACTTACCAGGGGCCAGGTACAGGGCCAAGCACTTCAGACATTAACTTGTTTTCTCCACCAACCTATGGAGTGGGAAGGTTAACATTTACATTTTACAGGAAAGGAAATGGAAACCTGAAGAGATTAAGTAACTTTCCCAAGGTCACAAAAGGAGCAAGTGGCTGTGTCAGTCAGCATGAGTTTAATTAGGCTTTGTAACAAATAGCCCCTAAATCTTAGTGGCTTAGAACAACAAAGGTTTCTTTCTCACTCATGCTACATGTCTGGGGGGGGGGTGCGGGCACTGG